GGGGGCCAGACCCTGCGTCTGATACGCCCGCCGCACCGCCGTGGCGACCCACTGCGCCAGCCGCTGAGCCGACAGCGGGGCGCCCCTGTTCTTGGGGCACAGACACACAAACAGCTGACCACCCAACCTGAATGACAAAGTCATGGCCAGGTAATGCCTCAGCATTCTGACAGGACACAGAAGGTGCCGCCGCTCCTCCTCGGGGGAGGCATGCGGTGGCGGATAGAAAGCCCTAATCCTGATGACTCTCGACCTAAAGGCCGACGTGATGACCTTGGGGAGAAAGGCCGGATTGGGCCACAATTCCACCATGCCGTCGCCCTCACCAAAGGACAGGCAAGACGCATGGACAGAGAGCGCACACAAGTCGCCCGCCCTCTTAGCAGACGCCAACGCCAGCAAGAGGGCCGTCTTAAAAGCGACACACTCGGGACTCGCCTCCGCCGCCGGTTCAAAAGGCGGACCCGACAGCCCCCTAAGGACCACCCTGAGGTCCCAAACCGGGGGCGTTCTCTGGAGCGGGGGCCTCCTCCTGCGCGCCCCCCGCAGAAAACGTTTAACCAACGGATGAGAGCGGGCTGTGAACCCCCCGAATCCGTTGTGACCCGAGGTAATGGCTGCCGCGAACACCGCCAAGGTGGCGACAGCCCTCCCTTTGTCAAAAAGCTCCCGTAGGAATCCCAGGACCCCCTGCAGCGGGCAACGCCTGGGGTCCCAGGAACGAGAACCGCACCAGTCGCTGAAGAGCCTCCACCTCGTGGCGTAGGCCCTCACAGTGGACGGCGCCCTCGCCCCCTGAATGGTCTCCACCACCGCAGGGGGAAGACCCAGGTCTACGAGGTTCCGCCTCTCAGCCTCCAAACCCAGAGCCTGCGGCCGATTATCGGGCGTGAAAACAGGGCTCCCCCCCCCTGGACTAGAGCCCCCGGCTCGTCCGGGAGGGCCCAGGGCTCCATCACCGCCATGCCCCTCAGGAAGGGGAACCACCGGGCATGCGGGCTGTCCGGAGCCACCAGGATCACCGACCTCCTCTCCTGTCCGATCCTCCGCAGCAGGACCGGCAGGAGACGCACTGGTGGGAAAGCGTACAGCAGGCCCTCTGGCCAGGGGTAATGAGCCAGAGCGTCCACGCCTAGGGGCGGCTCGTCCGCGGCCCTTAAGGCGAACCAGGACGGGCACTGTGCGTTTTCTGCACTGGCGAAAAGGTTGACCACTGGACGGCCGAACCTCCGCCAGATCTCCGCAGCTACCCGTGGGGCCAGGCCCCACTCGTCCTGGAGTTGGCCCCCCCTGGACATCCTGTCGGCCCCCACGTTCCGGACCCCCGGGACGTGGCGCGCCCTGAGAGACAGGAGGTGAAGCGCCGCCCACAGCAGCGTCACCGTCGCCATGCGATGGAGAGCGGGGGACCTGGTGCCCCCCTGCCTGTTCAGATAGGAGACCACTGTGGTGTTGTCTGAGCGCACCATCACGTGTCTCCCCTGCAGCTGAGGAGCAAAGTGCAGCAGTACCCTGTGCACTGCCTCCATCTCCAGCAGGTTGATGTGACGGGCTGAGTCCGACCAACAGCCTCCTACAGAGCTCTGGCCGAGGACCCCGCCCCATCCTTCGAGTGACGCGTCCGTGAACACCTCCACGTGCGACACGGCGCAGGCCAGAGTCACTCCGTCCCGCAATAGACCCGGAGTGAGCCAGAACCTGATGTCCGATGCTGCCACTTGTGGAACCCAGATCAGCCTCCCCCCGTCCCGGGAGGGGTGAAGCCTGAGGCGTGAGAACCACCTCTGAAAATTCCTCATGTGGAGAAGGCCTAGCCGCACCACAGCATGAGCCGCCACCATCATTCCCAGCAGGGACCTGAGGCGCCGAGCGGGACTCTGGGGCCCGCCAGAACCTCCCTGGCCAGACGGGTAGTGTTCATCCATCTGTCCACGGACAATGCAGCACGGAATGTCACAGAGTCTAGCTGCAGGCCGAGATAAATCATGCGCTGAGCGGGCTGCAGCTTCTCTCCCTGTTTACCACAAAGCCCAGACGCTGTATGTGGGACAGGACCCAGTGCGTATGACTCAAGGCCACTTCCCTGGATGAGGCCAGAATTAACCCGTCGTCTATGTAGGTTAAAACTCTTACCCCTGCGCGTCTGAGCGGCTCCAGTGCTGCCTCCACGTACTTGGAAAAAGTGCGAGGCGCGAGTGCGTAGCCGAAGGGGAGACGGCAGTACTCGTAATTCCTCTCTCCCACTGCGAAGCGCAGAAACCTCCTGTGTTCCGGCACTATCAGCACGTGGAAGTAAGCGTCTGACAGGTCTATGGAGGACATCCAATCTCCCTGCCTGACACACTCGAGGAGCTGCTTTGTGGACAGCATCCGAAACTGCCGTTTGGAAATGCACTCGTTCAAAACGCGCAGATCCAATATGGGACGCACCCCGCCTGACTTCTTTGGCACCAAGAAGTAAGGGGAGTACAGCCCCCTGGTGGCGTCCTGCGGGTCTACCTCCACTGCTGCGCCTCGACTCAGCAGGGAGGAGACCTCCGTTTGCAGTGCCTCTAATGATCCCCGTACCTGAGAGCGTGCTGCCCGTACGCCTCGGAATGGTGGTGGCTTCCGGGAGAATTGCAGTGCGTAACCCCTGCGCAATGTTTTCTCCAGCCATAGATCTGTCAGCAAACCTTGCTCCCTCCAGATGCTGTAGAAGTCTGTGAGGGGCGGAACGGGAGCTGGAACACGAGACGTCACGGCCCCGTCTTCTCCTGGTGTTCCTAGCAGGGAGGGGGGGTGGACGAAAGGGCCGGGGGGCCCCCTGCGTCACACCATGAGCGCCGGGGGCGGTCACGTGTCCTGCAGGCCCGACGTCATAAAAACGGGACTGCTCATCCCACGTGACTCGGCTGCTGTGCCCCCCCCTGGCTCTTGCCTCATGGAGGGGGGGGCGAGCCCCTGGAGTGGGAGACCCCGTGTTAGCCTTGTAGCTCAGAGATGCTAACACGCGTTCGGCCGAAGCACACACATCATTACTCACCAGATCCCTCCGCCTGACCTCTCTCTGGGAGGGCATAGCATGAACAAGAGAACCGGAGCTCGTAGCTCGCGTAGCGCACTGCACACCCTGCTCTGGGGGCTGCAGGCCTAGCGAAGCAACGTTATGTGCTCGGGAAGTAACACAATCAGAATTCACATTATTTGACATGTTACATACCCCCAAATGAGACTCAGAAACGAGTAATGATGAAATGCCGGTCGGCCTTTATTGAAGGAAAACTTTCCACCCCGACCTCCTCTGCCATAGGGAGGTCGGCGGTGGGTGCGTTGCTCCCGCGAGCCACCCGTGGGTCTGTCTGGACCCGGGGGCCTCGTCGAGGGGGGACGATGGACAACAGAGCGCGGAAACGGGTCAGGATGCCTCCCGGGCGAACGCTCTCTGCCTCTGTCCCGGCTCCGTGATGGTTGGTGGGCCTCGCGCCTCGGTGCTAGGTGCGGGGCTAGCCTAGCCGAGTCGTTGGCTGCAGACTCCAGTCTCGCCACCAGGGCCTGCATGTCCGGGCCGAAGAGGGACGTCTGAGAGATGGGCAGGTCCAGCAGCTGCCTCTTCTCCGCCTCCCTGATATTAGCCAGCCCAAGCCAAAGGTGCCTGGCCCCGACTTGGGCTGCAGCCATGGAGCGGCCACCATCCACAGCTAGCGTCTGGCACATGCGCAGAATCGCCGCCGAGGTGGTCCTCGCCTGTGACAGGAGGTCTCCACTGAGCGCCTGGCCAGAGGAGAGCGACCTATCCAGGGCCCCCGTGATGAAGGCCATGTTGTTAGCCAATGCGAGGACCTGTGCCGCATTGGCATAACATCTATCCAGCATCGCCAAGACATCCTGTCCCGCTCGGAGGGAAGGAGAGGTCTGGTGCCGGGCCACACGGATGCGGAGGGCTGCAGGGCCATGCGGACTGAATCCTCGGTGTCCGGGCCACCATCCACGGCTAGCGTCTGGCACATGCGCAGGATCGCCGCCGAGGTGGTCCTCGCCTGTGACAGGAGGTCTCCACGGGGCGCCTGGCCAGAGGAGAGCGACCTATCCAGGGCCCCCGTGATGAGTGCCATGTTGTTAGCCAATGCGACGACCTGTGCCGCATTGGCATAACATCTATCCAGCATCGGCAAGACATCCTGTCCTGCTCGGAGGGAAGGAGAGGTCTGGTGCCGGGCCACACGGATGCGGAGGGCTGCAGGGCCATGCGGACTGAATCCTCGATCACCGGTCCAGGACCAGTCCTGCACGCTGCAGTACATGTCGTACCCCAGAGCAGGCCTCTTGGCTGCTAGGGGCTTTGGCCACTCACGTGTCGCGTAATGGACGATCGGGTCCATCCACGGGCACAACGTGGGTTGTATCCTCCTCCTCCCTCGAGTGGTGGCGCCCACAGAGGTGAAGTCCTCCACCGTCCGGATCCAGCGACGACGTCCGACGCCGGAGGGCGAAGGGAACTCGGACAAACAAGGAAGACATCTCAGAATGAAGTAAGTACTGTGGTAGATCTCAAACGGCGCCAGAGTGAAAGAGGGGGTGCGGCCTTGTGCAGGGGCCTTTATAGAGGAGGGTGGCTGGTGATTGGAGCAAATTATTTTGATCTCTCTGGCGTGTGACCTGGGGGTCACGAGTGATATCCCACTAGCGAAGTCCTAAGGGACGTAGCACCATGATGTAGAAGCGATATTTACCCTTCATACAGTTTCACCACAAATGTTCTACTTAAGATATTATTTGACATTCAACAACAGGAAATGACAAAGAAAATAGTCTCATTATCATTTTTAATTTTCCAGCAAGTGATGCATCATATTTCTTCTTGTCAAAACGTTTGACAACCCAGGTGTGAGTGTGTGTGGCCGTAGATGGACAATAGTAGATTATAGTAGAGTCTATGTGGTCTATGGCAGACTGGGGAGGACTTGAGCTGTGTAACATTTGTGACTCCAAAGACCAAAGGAAAGTCTTGACTGGGTGGTCTACGGCAGACTGGGGATGTCTCTGGTCCACAGTTTGACAAAGCGAAGCCTCATCTTCTGGGAGGTGGAGGGTTCGTTCATGTTGGATGAGATGTTCAGATACTGCTGAGAGAAATGGTCCATCTGGGGCCAGGTCACAGGCACCGCCGAGGGGCCCACGTTAGGGTCTCTGCAGGAAAGATAGTTAAATAGATGTATACAGTACATTGATAGATACGTTAATGAGCCTGAATGCAATATTTCTGCCAATCAGGAGTAGCGTTGGTCTGTAACCACCGGTGGGGGGTTGTCCTGGCTGAATATGGTCCGTGAGCACGTGCGCAATACCACTCCAGGTCAGTGGGGTGGAATAAGAATTACCCAGTGCTTTTGTTTGGCGTCTTCCATCTTCTCAAAAACGACTTTAGATTCTGGTCCAAAAGTTGGCTGGTCCAAAAATCGGCTCTTGGCCTGGTTCCTGTCAATGCTGAGGGGAGTATCGTTTTTGGACCAGTCTAGTTTAGCTGGTGTGGACTTCAGAAGGCTCTCGTCAAATGAATAATTTTCACATTTTCCTGCCCCTCTGCCATTTTGAAAAAGCCCATAGAAGGCAAAAGTGATGGCACATTAGTTTCAACGGCAGAGTTAGGCTTGACTACGTCCATTAATATCTACAGTCTATGGTCCCCACACAAGCTGCATACTCTTTCAGGGGCAGAAGGCTCCTGTGTGGTTCATTATAAACGCTCATATCTTGTTGAGCTCGGGGCTTAGCAAGGTCCATCTACTTATATACAGTCAGTGCTTAATTTGAAACGTGAGGTCCTGAAATCCTGAGGGGGAGGGGGGTTGGCTCTACCGCTATTCAGAAGCTGCAGTGATTACATGTGTCCACTAGATATCTGTGTTACAATGAAAGGTTTTGAAACACTGACAAAGTTGCTACACAAACATTGCTACACAAAGTGAAGCAGTGAAGGCTGTGTACAAGTCTATCGTTACCCAGAATACACGGCAGATTATCCTGAAAAATTCAACATTTGAGCATTAATTTTAGAGTGAATATGAAGCAAGTCGGCCAAATGCAAAATACGTAAGCAACATTTTGAAAAAACTCATTAGACTAAAGTGGATAGGCCATTTTTTTTTTTTTTTACCTACCACAATTGACAAGAACATCCCAAAGTTGGCCCATATAAACTGTCTTCCATTCGACTTATTTAAATTTTAGGTTAGGTCAATGCTCCGGCTCTAATGTCTTTTTGTGAAAGTTTGTGTGGTTTCGGCTCAACTGAAGCACTGTATGAAGCCCATGGTCTCACCCAGTCCTGGCGAAGTTGGTCCAGTAGGCCATCATGTGAGCGGACAGGGCGCGGTGTTTGTCGGCGTAGGCTTTGGGAGTGGTAAAAGGCTTCCCAAACACAAACTGCAAGTCGTCCGCGTGGTCCGAGCCCACCCAGTCATGGTAGGGCTTCCCAGGACCGGCCATCAGACTGGGCTCCGACAGCAGATAGGAGAAGGTACGCCCAGACCTGAGTAGAGGGAAACCGGGCATGTTTATTTGTGTAGCACTAGAGAATACAACATTGAATTTTATTATACGTTCCATGTTCCCACAAAAAACGTCCCCATGCCCCTCCTATAGTCAGCAAAGTCATGTCTACCATTTAATATTGTCTAAATCATAGGTGTCAAAGTCAAGGCCCGGGGGCCAGATCCGGCCCGTGAGACCATTCACAGTGGCCCCTGAGATTATTTTAAATGATTATATTAAATAGCAGCATTGATGGTAGATAATGGTATGTTATCCATTACTGAGTTTCTCAAGAAAACAACCAGAAAATGTAATTCTATAAGAAATGTGAAGCCAACATGTGATTAGAAGTTAGTATTGTTAGGTTATGTTTTTTATGTGTTTTTTTAGTCTTCAATTACTTTTCTTCTTAACATTATGAAGAAGGATTTCCCAATTTTCATAGGAAAGAACCGCTTATTCAACAAAACTATCTGGTCTAATTGGACGATCACGTATCACTAGATGATTGACAGTTGGGAGGACCAATAGTCTTCATGATCCACCAGGAAGTAGAAAGTCTTCCTATATATCTTCAATATTTGGTTCAGTTTTGGTCTAGTTTTGAGTCAGTTTTGGTCCAGTTTTGGTTCAGTCCACAGGAACTGAACTAATTCTAATCAGAAAAGACTGTCCAATCCAACAAGTCATTTATAAAGATACCTTCATAGTATAAAAAGTGTAATAAATGAAACCCATCTATTCTTTCGGCCCCTGACCAGCCCTTAAATTTTTTATTCGGCCCTCAACCAAATTGAGTTTGACAGCCCTGGTCTAAATCTTCAGTGGAATAATATTTGTAGAGAAAAAGACAAAAATGACCTTAAAAATCATCAATAAGTCAACCCCCAAGTTTTTCTCTTCTTCAACCTTAGTCTTCAGTTCATTTCCAAACATTTTTTGTCCGTTGTAAACTCATTCTATGGCTGCAGTATTGTTCAAAACAGTTCGAGTCCTGACCAGAACCAGGGAGTACAACCACGTCGGTCCAGTTTTCAGGTCTCTGCACTGAAAATATGAGACAGGCCTCAGACAATGTTCAAATCCAGGTTGAAACCCATTTTATCCCCTCTTGTTGTAATGTACTGTGATTATCTATGATTTAAAGTTTGTTAAGTTTTAAGTTTTTCAGATTCAGATTCAGATTATTTTATTCAGACATTCAAACATTCAACAGATGACAAACAGATGATAAATAAACATAAAGTCTGAAATGGAATAGGCAGAAGCTAAAGCTTATTGCGCCTATCCCAGAGTATTTACAAAACATAAACAGTAAAGTTGCCAATGTCTTATGCAAGTAGTTATACAATTTTTGTTTTTAGATCGTCACAAAGAAGAAAGAAAAACAATCTATCATCTTAAGTTTGCATCCTTAGCATCCATTCTCAATGTATTTTTTTATAATTGATTTCTTCAAAAGAATTTTACATTGAATTAAGGTTTTACAGTCTTTTAGCTCTTGGTCCAACTCACTCCACACATTAATCCCAACAAAAGAAAGACAATGCTGCTTTGCACTCGTTCTCACATATGTTTTTTGAAACATTTCTTCCTTTCGGAAATTGTAAACGCAGTCTCGTTTTTGGAACAATCCCTGGATATGCACAGGTAACTTGTTATAGCTTATGTTATACATAAATTGTGCTGTTTTAAACTCAACCAAATCCTTCAATTTTAGTGCTTTTAGTTTGATGAAAAGCTCATTTGTATGTGCCCTGTAAGCCACTTTATTCACAATGCGGATCGCTCTTTTTTGGATGATACTTATTGGATTAAGATTGGTTTTGTAAGTGTTTCCCCAAACTTCTAGGCCATAGGTCATGTACGGGAGAACCAGGGAACAGTATAACATATATAAGTTGTTTTCATTTAAGAGTTCTTTAACTTTAGATATTATTGCAAGAGATTTACATAGCTTTGCCTTGATGTAGTTTATATGGGGCTTCCAGCTAAGCTTATTTTGTAAAAGTACTCCAAGAAATTTTATTTCATTCACTCGTTCTATCTCAGTATCATTTATTCTTAAATTTCTACACACATTAATGGCACGATTTCCAAAAACTATAAATTTGGTTTTATTTAAATTAAGGGTTAACTTATTAGAATCAAACCACTTCTTTAACAATAATAATTCTTTCTCTACTATATCTATCAATGCTTCTAAATTATTACCACAACTAAGCATGTTGGTGTCATCAGCGAATAAAATAAGGTTTAATGTTTTTGAAACTAAACACAGATCGTTAATATACATAAGAAACAAAAACGGACCCAACACTGACCCCTGTGGCAGCCCGCAGGAAACTGTCAGCAGCTGGGAATCAGTGCCATTGGTGTGGACATACTGGGATCTGTTCTTCAAATAAGTCTGGAGCCAAGAAAAAGCCACTCCTCTAATCCCATATCTGTACAGTTTTTGAAGTAGCAATTCATGATTCACTGTATCAAAAGCTTTAGTTAGGTCTAGGAACACACCAACAGCATATTGTTTATCGGCTATAGCATTTGATATTTTTTCTACAAGGTCCACTAATGCTAAGGTAGTGGTCCTATCGGGTCTAAAACCATACTGCTGTTCACAAATAATATTTTGCTTATCTACATAACTGAATAATCTTTTATGGAAGATCTTCTCCAGGATCTTGGAAAACTGTGACAGAATGGAAATAGGTCTATAATTAGTGAATTTCTGTTTATCACCAGCCTTGTGAATAGGAATCACTTTCGCAGTCTTCATTCCTTCTGGAAAAACCCCCGATTGTAAAGAAAGATTAAAAATGTAAGCGATTGGTTTTACAACACATTCAATAGTGTCTTTTAATACTGACATGTCTAGTCCATTCCAGTCAGCTGACATCTTAGTCTTGCAGTTTTTGACAACTGAAATTATTTCATTTTCATCAGTGGGTTGAATAAATATAGTTTTATTAGTGGTTGGTATTTTGCTTAAAGCATCAACTTGATTAGTGTTGACTATTTCTTTAGCTAATTTAGGGCCAATATTAGTGAAATATTGATTAAACTGGTTTGCGATTTCATCGGATTGATTGATCAAAGTTCTATCGTTTATTAGAAATTCAGTTGGAATGTCAGCATTTTGATTTCCCTTTTTGATTAGTTTGTTTAAAACACTCCAAGTATTTTTTATGTTACTTTTATTCTTCTCCAAAAGAGCACCATAATAGTTAATTTTACTTGATCTTATAATATTAGTTAATCTGTTCTTATATTGTTTGTAAGTACATTCAGCCTCTTTAGTCTTCTTTCGCAAGAAGTCTTTGTACAGTTTTACTTTGAGTTGCCTTGTGTATGAACTGTGCTATACAGATAAAGTAATAACGTCGCCAGCCTACTATTGTCTGGAAGAAGAACCAAATACTTTTACTTTTAAACAAATAAACTTTCCTTGCCTCCATTGGCCAATTTATAGACAAAACGGTAAAAACAACAACAATTGAAAAAAGTACAAAATATAAAAATATAATACACTTTGCACAAAAAAAGTCACGGCGCTCCAGTATAATCGGTCCGTCTGAAACTCATCCAGTGAGGAACGTTCCGCGGTGCAAAAATAGATACGATTACCGCGATAATTTTTGTGTACTTAATTCATCTTAATTAACACGTTAAAGTCCCAGAGTAAAACTGCAAAAGTCACTATAGTCACTAGGCGACCCTCAGGGCTGAGAGCTGATTGGCTGAGTCGGGGTGATCCTCTCTTTGTCACTTTTGGGCCAGAGAAAGACGTGACAGAGCCCGAACAATATGTCAATGTGAAAACTAGTGAGGGACTACTCTGATATACTTTATTATATTATCCCAGTGTTGCGGTTTGAAAGTTAGGTACTGAAGCTTTCCTTTGGGCGTGTCTTACGTTGCCGTGGCAGCGTGCAGGTACACAGCGGTCTGGATCGGCACCAGGAAGATGAAGTCCGTCCCGATGTTCACTGCCGTCTTCTTGATGGTGTCCTGGGACGGAGAGGAGCCCCAGTCCGAGGTGTACTCTGAGAAGGCCAGGTCCAGAGCGGCCGGGCCCTTTCCCCGTGTGTAGGCCCCCAGGAGCCGCCTCAAGTCTTCACTGTCAACACACAAAGGTTATAATTTATAGTTTTATTAATTTGAAAGTAGGCTCAAATATTTCCAGCATTCATCCGTCCAAATTGGAGCTGGTTGATAAGAACAGACAGAAAAGGTCTTGCATGTATCCTAAATGGTTTCACATTTAGTGCCATTGATAAACGGATTATTCTAAGACCAGCATCAGGTCTCACCAAAACCTCAATGGGCTAGAACCCGATCTTTAAGAGTAAGTTCCTGGACAATTAGGTATACTTGTTTATAAGCCGCACCTGCAACATTTGAAAAGAAACTACATGTTGTCCACATATAGGCCGCACTTGAATTAAGTTGCAGGTTTTCATGTTGCTCCCAGAGAGACGACTGACAACATGATTTAATGACGAAGTGTTTAACAGCTTCACCGTTAGTGTCCATGACTCATTCACCAGTACATTTTGACAATAAACAAGTGTCCTGTTGTCAAAAATGTCCATAAACATTTTTGACAACAGGAAAGTAAAAATCATCATTTATACTGTAGCTAGTTAGCGCTTTTCCACTGAAAGCAGTCACACCAAGGAAGCGCCATGTATTGTTCTGAACCAATGCGACGCCGGGAAACCTATTGAGTCAATGAAATTCTTCAACAAACAAAGCAAAGCAAAGCAGCTGCAACGTTTGTCACGTGACCGGTTGTTTTGATACACACTCCAAATCAGTGTCCTGGACAAGCCCCGGTGATCCAAGATGGCGCCCTATTCAAATGAATGGCTTGTGCTCAGTAGCGCATGGGACTTCACGGAGACCGGGAGATTAGCAAAACTCGCCTATATTTGGGCATCGACTTGTCCTCCCGGTTCTGCGCAGTGGATTATCTCCCAAGATGCGTTGCGCCGTCATGCAACGCCATCAACACGCGTGTGCGGCTTTCATGCACGTGCACAGAGGGGCTCGGCCGCGCTCTGACCAATCAGAGCTGTTCATCAGAGCAGCGGTAGAGCGGAGCCAGAGCAGGAAGGCAAGGAGCAGAGTTTGAGGCAGTAAAGTCTGGATACAAAGAAAACCGAAGGATTTAAGAAGAAAAAAAGTTCAGGAGGACACTAAAATCCCCACAAAATCCGATCTTTATTAAAGCTGTAGGTTCTCTGTCAGGTTCTCTGTCAGCTGAGGTCGTGCTGTTTTAGTTTACATTTAGTTCTATGGGACTTTTTTCTGGGTAGCCCACGTGAGTTTAGTTTGCAGTACCACGGGCGCCCCCTGTGCCCATGGGTGGGACAGCTATAAGCTAGTATGCCCTATCCAATTATTATTATAGATCCATGGTCTCAAAGCAGTTTGCTTCGGAAAGAGCGACACAAGCTCCGGAGCATCGGTGTTGTTTTCCCATCACAAGGGCCTGTACAAAAAGATTTAGGTGTTTCTGTGATCTGCTGTGTGGCACTGCTTCTGTGGCCATTGAGTTTAAATTTAGTTTTTTTTTCTGGTGCATTTTAGTTAGGGGTTACGATTACCTTTTAAACCTAACCCCTAATTAGTTACTTTTAAACGTGTTCGTGGAATTTTAAAGCCTTTTCATTGTTTGGCACATTGGATTGCAGGTCTTCTTTTAATGTGTGGCACTCAAACTGATCTCGACCCTTTGATACTTAAGGGGAGTAAGCCCCCGGTCCTCACATGGGCGTGTCCTGGGTCTTGCTGCGAAGTGAGGGGATGTCCTGTGACGTGAACAGGTGTCCGTCCATGTTGTTGACCCCCAGCAGAAAGTCTACTTCTGCCGCGTTGTGGAAGAGCTTGGAGGGGTGGTCCGGCAAGAAGTCCCCGTCCACCACTGGGGTCAGCTGTAGGTTCATCACGCCAGGCTCTGACACAGACACAGGGACATGTATAAGACAAAAACTGTGGAATATGTGTGTTTCTCAAATGTACGCCTCAATGTTAGTAAAACAGAGGGATCGATAGTTCTGGTGGATGAGTTACCATTTGAAGTTCAAGAGTAAAAGTATTTGGGTGTCACCATCGATTCTCATCATCTCGCCGCTATCCTCTCTCGTATTCTAACAGCTATTCCCGATTCCGCAAGGTTTTGTTTTTTTCCAGTCTCTATGTTTTGCACCGCCCCTTATCTCGCCCACAGGCCTCTCAGAGCTGGGAGAGAGTGGCTCACTGTCTGGGTTGCCTTGTAGGATCTTGGGAGCAGCCATGGTCAGATTTCCAGTGTCCATGCTCCTCAGACAGTCGGCCATTGTGTGGTCAGTGGGACAGCCAACCTTCTCTGCCACCTGTGAGGATACACAACCAGTGTTTGTGTAGAACAGTTATTACACAAGGCAACTCAAAGTGCTTAACAAAAACAGATAGAAAAAGAAATAGATCATGAGTAATTAAAAAGAGTGAATATGCAATCCCTCAGTTATATGCAAAGCTAAACGGAACAGTTTTAACCTGAATTTGAACATTTTTAGAGAAGAAGCCTGTCTCACATTTTCAGGAAGACTGTTCCAGATTTTAGCTGCATAAATCTGAAATTCTGCATTCTTCTTGTCATAATTTTCTATGTATTTGTTAGTTCACTTGTCACGTCACATGCAGCTATTATTACTATTGTTTATTTTGTCATCTGTAACCTAGCCTGGCCTTAGCCATCCTTGCACTCCAGTCAATTATCATTTTCCTGCATGTAACGTCTGGGTCTGGTCCTTGTGTTTGCGATTACATCGAATGAATACCTTCCGACCAATCAGCGAATGCTGGAGGCGGGTGTTGTCGTTAGATGTCGGTTGTAGTTTAGTAATGGCGAAGAATGCGATAGTAAAGTATTCAGGTCTGGTTATATCAAGAAATTGAAGGCGGAGACAGAGGAAGGTATAGCAAATGTAATTTCTGGCAAAGATTGTGGCGCTACTCCCCACGGGCTCCTGAAAAAGGTGTTAACCCCTCCCACCTGTTCACGGAGCTCAATGGAGCGCCTCCAGACCTTAGTGCCAAATGTAATTTGTACTATGGTGTGGTACAATCAGGCTATCTGCAAATACCTCATGAAGCTGCAAACTTCAGTGGATAATCCACTGGTGTATTATTTGATTAAAGTATCTATTTAAATAAGAATAATCCTGTTTGATATGTGCATAACTTGAGTGCTGTTATTTCCTCTTGTATGCTGCTGTAATGTGCTCTTTGTGCTCATGTGTAAAACTATCAAGGGGGTGAAAATGAGCAAATCATAAAAAATCCTGCCACCCGTACTGAAACTTCTCTCAAATCAATATAACTGTCCTAAAGTACAGAGTGTGTTGTGCTCACCTGCTCAGCCACGTCCCGGGGGTTGCTCCTGAAGGCCCAGGGGCAGAGGGCCACTCCGCTCTGGGAGATGGCTCTGCGGACCAGCCCTTTGGTGTGCGGCGACAGGATCTGCAACCAACATACGCTAACATCAACATCCAACTGCTGCAAATGGAGCAGTTGGATGTTGATGTTAGCGTATGTTGGTTGCAGATCCTGTCACCAACATACGCTAACATCAACATCCAACTGCTGCAAATGGAGAGAGAGAGAGAGAGGATAATGGATAGATAGGTACTTTATTGATCCCTGTTGGAGAAATTCTTGTGCCCAGCAGCAGAACCACATCCATCCACACGAACAAATAAGTACATCATTTATTTGCTTTGATGTTTTCATGTATTTCAGGCCTCTGTCATATCTTTAGATCAGCATATTTCAGAGAGCCAATCGCGCTTACATCATTATTTGACAGATAAGGTCTTTATGAAACTGAATAGATGGACAATATTCACCACTGAGCTCCACGAGTTATGACCCTTTACATTTGACCAATCAGGTTATTTCTCTCCCTGAAATGGGTTGCAACTACCAAGCAGTGTGAGCGGGAAAAGACAGGCGCGGCTCCTGATTGGCTCTGGGTTGCTTGGTTGTTGTTCCCTGCAAACATTCGGCTCCAGATTCCAATAAAAGAAAGCTGGTTAAAGTTAGCTCTAATCGGCTTAGGCAAACTCTTAAGGTCAGTCCACTCCAGTACGGTCTATGGGTGAGACTGGTCTACAATCCATTACCTCCATCCAAAACGTGTGTGTCTGTGTGTGTGTTTCAGACCTGGAAGCTGACACTAGCGCCCCCTGCAGACTCTCCAAAGATGGTGATGTTGCTGGGATCTCCTCCGAACGAGCGGATGTTTCTGTGCACCCAGGCGATAGCGGCCTGCTGGTCCCACAGGCCGTAGTTTCCTGGAGACAATAAAAGAAACTATGAAGACCCAAAAGATGAAGGTGCTCCAATCGATCAGCAGCTGTTTCCTTTAGTAAGTTAGTGATATATTTTTTTTATATAGCACATTTGAAAGACCAAGATCTATAAAAGAGCTTTAAGATCTTGGTGTGCCGGCAGTTTCCATTCACTCCACACACAGTGACGACAGAAGCAAGAAGCCGAACTCTCTGACCATCACCATCCATTCACTCTCTCATGACATCCAGACCTATTCTACATGTTTTTAGTCATAGGGGGAACCGTAGCACCCGGAGGAAACTTGTACAGACATGGAGACAAGTGCAAACTCCACACAGAAAAGGAGGTAGAGGTGGAATCAAAATCCAGAACCTTCTTTGGACAAAATGACCTCCATATTTAAAATATATATAAGATATGTACAGATCCAGACAAAATAAAAAACAATGCATAAAACTGTTGCCAAAATTGTTTTATTTCCGTTTTCGGCCCATGAAAAAACTGCTCTGCCAATGCTGTTTTATCTACTGTATGAGTGACCATTTCTCTGTATTTGAACATGATGTACTAGTCAGAGTAATGGGTCTTTCAGACAATATGATTTCCTGTTGTACTGAATGAAAGACACGGGGTGATGGAAAATGCCTCAGTACTCGTTCTACAAGCTGAGTCCTGGTTCTAAAGGCTGTTCCTTTGTGGGAGCAGATCCTTCTCTCAGTATGGGTCTCCCCGAGGTTTGTCCTTTCCAATGCGGGAGGGTGTAAGGACATAGACCCTAGTGGCACTGCAGGATGGGTCAAATGCAGAGGACACATTTTTCCTAATAATGTGTACCTTAACTTATTTACTAACATTTCTGATTATTGGTCAAACCGTCTCCTATGTTTAGAGAGAGAGACAAGAGAGAGAGATACCAGAGAGAGACCAGGGAGAGACCAGAGAGAGAGATACCAGAGAGAGACCAAAGAGAGAGACCAGGGAGAGATCAGAGAAAGAGACCAGAGAGAAAGACTAGAGACTGCATCTGAGCGAACAATATCTTCTGCCAGAGGGAAGAAGCTGGAACATGGCATTTCCAGGGGCCAGAAGAGTTTGATTATTCTGGAAGCTCAATATTTCAGCAATAAAAGCGACGCAGAATCTTAGAGGTTGTTTGTTATCATTGCATTTCCTGTGTGAACTGTTTGATCTGATGTTTTTAATAAGTCCACCAAGATGACTGCTGTTTGGGATTGGGATTTTGAAGCCGCGGACTCGCTGGCCTCGCTCTTTCTCCTCCCCTCCCCGCACCCACGAAGCTATCGCCCCCCACACACACTGTTGTTGACGGAGCTAGCGTCTCCCAATATGGATAAATACATGGACATGGATTTGCACGTGGATGGCGTGACCATAGAACGATAGAACCGGGAAGCGCGGAGAAACGGGACTTTCTTTTGGGGTTGGCTGTGATCGCTGTGTAAGCAGTAACCGGTGACGAAGACGAGGAAGCTTCAGGTTAGCTCCGCTGCTTGTTGTGTTAACTCAGCTGTCTATGCTAACAGACCTGTAGATTTCTCACGAAAGTGGGGGCCAGTGGTCCGCTGTGATTGGTCACAATCTGCGACCGAAACATATCTCTTCCTTGTTTCATCAAAACTCGATCTAAAATATAATGTCACGCCAGCACAAATCTGCGCTACTTTTTCTTCAAAAAGACGTATATACCAATGCACTGCATGGACATGGATAGCATTTTCGTAATTAATACAAAATTAAAGTCAGTTAGTGCAGCTTTAAATTAAATTGAATTGAACCAGCAGATAAACTGTACCTGGTAGAGAGGGGTCTCCGGTGCTGAGGAACCCCAGGACCCCCACCCTGTAGCCCGCGCTGACCACGATGACGTCACCGCGCTTGGACAGCTCCTGACCGCTGTACAGGTAATTATTCAGGAAGTTTGGCCCCATGGAGCCGCCCACCATGAAGCCGCCACCGTAGAACCAGATCATCACCGGGAGGTTGGAGGAGACTGGGGAGAACAGTTTATTTTAAATGCTAACAAGGCGCTTCTATTCATTAATGGAATGCCATGATGATAGGACTCCTGAATCGGGCCTCAATTACCCGCACCTGGGAACTGGTCTCACCTGGGCCCGGGCTGCACCCTTTCCCGCCTGGGAGTCTTTTCATTCCTTCGCCACATTGCCTCAGTCCTCATTCTACAGTTTCAGTCCTGGATCTACGGCCTGAGACCTGGATCTACAGCTTCAGTCCTGGTTCTACAGCTTCAGTCCTGGTTCTACAGCTTCAGTCCTGGTTTTACAGCCTCAGGCCTCATTCTAAAGCCTGATTTCTGGATCTACAGCCTGCCTGTTCATCTGTGGGAATGAATCCCTCTCTCGATGTGGGCCTCCTCAGGGTTTCTCATTTTTTCCCACTTATTTTTTGTAATTTTTTGTCGATGCAGGAGGGTCTAAGGACAATGATGGTCGCAAGATGTTTTCCAGAAGATAAAAAAAGTGGAAGAAATATATACAGTGGGGCAAAAAAGTATTTAGTCAGCCACCGATTGTGAAAGTTCTCCCACTTAAAATAATGACAGAGGTCTGCAATTTTCATCATAAGTACACTTCAACTGTGAGAGACAGAATGTGAAAAAAAAATCCAGGAATTCACATTGTAGGATTTTTAAAGAATTTATTTGTAAATTATGGTGGAAAATAAGTATTTGGTCACTTCAAACAAGGAAGATCTCTGGCTCTCACAGACCTGTAACTTCTTCTTTAAGAAGCTCTTCTGTCCTCCACCGGTTACTTGTATTAATGGCACCTGTTTGAACTCGTTATCTGTATAAAAGACACCTGTCCACAGCCTCAAACAGTCAGACTCAAAACTCCACTATGGCCAAGACCAAAGAGCTGTCGAAGGACACCAGGAAAAGAATTGTAGACCTGCACCAGACTGGGAAGAGTGAATCTACAATAGGCAAGCAGCTTGGTGTGAACAAATCAACTGTGGTAGCAATTATCAGAAAATGGAAGACATACGAGACCACTGATAATCTCCCTCGATCGCAAGATCTCATCGAGTGGGGTCAAAATGATCATCAGAACGGTGATCAAAAATCCCAGAACCACACGGGGGGACCTGGTGAATGACCTGCAGAGAGCTGGGACCAAAGTAACAAAGGTTACCATCAGTAACACACTACGACGACAGGGAATCAAATCCTGCAGTGCCAGACGTGTCCCCCTGCTGAAGCCAGTGCATGTCCAGGCCCGTCTGAAGTTTGCCAGAGAACACATGGATGATACAGCAGAGGATTGGGAGAATGTCATGTGGTCAGATGAAACCAAAGTAGAACTGTTTGGTATAAACTCAACTCGATGTGTTTGGATACTGAGTCTGCTAAGGGGACAGGACGACTGATCCGTGTTAAGGAAAGAATGAATGGGGCCATGTATCGTGAGATTTTGAGCCAATACCTTCTTCCATCAGTGAGAGCTTTGAAGATGAAACGTGGCTGGGTCTTCCAGCATGACAATGATCCCAAACACACCGCCCAGGCAACGAAGGAGTGGCTCCGTAAGACATTTTTGAATGTCCTGGAGTGGCCTTGCCAGTCTCCAGACCTCAACCCCATTGATAATCTGTGGAGGGAGTTGAAAGTCCGTGTTCACTGCTCTCGAGAAAATCTGCATGGAGGAATGGGCCAAAATACCAGCTACTGTGTGTGAAAACCTGGTAAAGACCTATAGTAATTGTCTGACCTCTTTTCTTGCCAACAAAGGTTATATTACAAAGTATTGAGTTGAATTTTGTTTATTGACCAAATACTTATTTTCCACCATAATTTACAAATAAATTCTTTAAAAATCCTACAATGTGAATTCCTGGATTTCTTTTTCAAATTCTGTCTCTCACAGTTGAAGTGTACCTATGATGAAAATTACAGACCTCTGTCATTGTTTTAAGTGGGAGAACATGAACAATTGGTGGCTGACTAAATACTTGTTTGCCCCACTGTATGTATAAGACCTTTGCATAAATACTCTCTGTATTTGTTAATATCCATCCATCCATCCATTTTCTACCCTTTAATCCATTTCTGGGTCAGGGGGGTGGCAGTCAGAGATGCCACCCAAGTCTCATAGCACCAGCCCCTCACTGACCCTCTGCAGGTGGTGAGTCCACAGGAGGGCGGCTGCTCTCTGAGTGTGAGCACAGCCTTGATCTTTCAGTGGGGGCTTTTGGGCAAAGTGGGGTTAAGTGTCTTGCCCAAGGACACAACGACAGCAGTCATCAGTGGGAGTCGATGGAGAAGGTGCAGAGGTGGGAATTGAACCCACGACCTTCTGGCCTTAAGGCCAATGCTCTACCAACTGAGCTACTGTCGCCCTATATTTGTTAATATCATTGTTGCAATTGATTTGATTGGATAGGAATACTTGTTAAATTGTGTTCGGAGAAGAGCCTGATGAAAATGTAATATACTTTATCTGAATTTGTAATTTTGTCCCAGACATTACGAGACCACGACAGTGTCAATCAAATCAAAGTTTTGAGTAGGGGGGTCGCGGTGCAGCAGTGCATTTATCACGGGGGTCGCGGGCTAAAAAGTTTGGAAACCCCTGCATTATAGAGTCTATTGCTCTAAAACACTTTGGTCCCATCACTGGGGTTCACATGCATGTATTTTTGCTGCTATTTAGTTCAGCTTTATCAGAAGACAGAAAGTACAGCTTCACCGCCATCTTGTGGTTATTTCAAACAATACATCTTTAGGTTTTTGTACCTAACCTTACACTGTGATTTTGTACCTTACACTTTATTTCCTAGTCTGTGACTTCCTGTTACTTACATGGCAATAAAAATTATTCTGATTCTGATATCGGGAGTGAATGGCTGATGTCACCATAGTATTATCCATAATGCTAGATTCAAAAGTATGCAAAATGTTTCTCTAATAGGATAAAGACGGCCTGCTATGGTCTGACTTGTTCATAACATTTGACTTTTCCAGAAAAACAGATTTGCCCAGGATTTCATATTCAGTCTTCATATCTTTTATCCTATCAAAATCTTTCCAATAAATATGTTAAATTAATCCAAATATACACATGATTGGAAGTCCCCCTCACCCTTTTTGCCGTGAGGGACCCATATGTTCAGGTGCAGACAGTCCTCACTCCCAAACGTCTGTGTCTGCACGATGTTCACCTGCAGACACCTGGGAGCGAACTTTGTGGCTTTGAGGATTCCTGTGGGAGAAGACGGACGCGTGAAGCTAACGTCAGGCTAGAAGAAAACAAGGCACATTTATTGGTATAGCACAGTTCTTACACGAGTGCTTAACAAAACAAGACAAGAAGCGCAATCACAAAAGACATTCAAATAATAAATAATCACAGTATAGAGTGGAGATTCTGCTCTTCAGTTGTTTTTACATAAGAATAGAAACCGTCTCACATTTTCAGGTAAGACTGTTTTCAGATTTTCACTGTGAAAGATTGGTAGCAAGTACAGTATGTAGTTGTTTTTTTGTATCAAGACAAAATGTATAGGAGAAAACTTATATAACACAAAATTGTAAATGTACAATGTGTCTGTCCGAGGCAGAACATGAAAACTGTGCTTAACCTACTTGTCTTAAGTACTAGACAAAACATATATTAATATTGTGGAGAAAGACCAGAGAACAGAGAGAGAGAGACTCCAGAGAGAGATCAGAGACAGGAACCAAAAAGAGACCAGAGCAAGATAGAGACACCAGAGAGAGAGGGACCAGAGAGAAAGAGACCAGAGAGAGACCAGAAGGAGACCAGAGAGAGAGAGACCAGAGAAAGACCAGAGAGAGACCAGAAGGAGACCAGAGAGATCAGAGACAGGTAGAATGAGACCAGAGCAAGATCAGAAAGAGACACCAGAGAGAGAGAACAAAGCGAGTTCAGAGAGAGACCAGAGACCAGGGAGAGACCAGAGAGACCAGAGAGAGAGAGAGAGACCAGAGGGAGAGACCAGAGAGAGACCAGAGAAAGACCAGCGAGAGAGGGACCAGAGAGAGAGACCAGAGAGAGAGACCAGAGAGAGAGAGACCAGAGTGAGAGACCAGAGAGAGAGAGACCAGAAAGAGAGACTGGAGCGAGACCAGAGAGAGACAGACAGCCAAAACAAACCTAAATTTTGATCTCAAACAAAGTAGTCAGTAAATCATGAAACAAAAACTGAATTCCATCTTGAGCCACACACAGAGAAGGGGTGAGTGCACTGACCGCTCCAGCCGGGGTGAGGCCGAGGCTTCTGGAACAGTCCTGGTTTAGCAGCGAACGGGACGCCTTTGAACACCTCCACGGAGCGCATCAGACCCACAGGGATGTTCTGCCCCTGGACCAAGCCTCCTTCTGTCTGCACCACGCCCAGCTGACCACACGGAGAAGGTCAGTACAGGCATGTCACATCACCACGTTCACAAAGAGCCTAGAGTCTAAGATTGTGGAGGAGGGCTGCTGAAAAATGTACTGGGTATCTGAGAAAAGTCTGTCATTTCTGGAACAATTTTTCCAGTTCCATATCTTCTTTGTCAGCACATAAACATTATAGTCTTATTATTGTCACAAATGTTGACTAGAAGATGTGACAATAATATTAAAAAAACATATGTAGGATCTTGGCCAGTGTGAAAAACTCTCATGCAGAAGAGAAAAGGTTCAAATAAAAAAGTGGCAAATCCTGTTCATATATTTTGGTCCTGTATCTTTGTGCAGAGACACTGGACAGAATCAAACGAATTCCAGCAGCAGTACTATAAATATTCACACTTTCCTTGTACATTTTTTCTTATTGGTTTCATTCTCCCAGTCAGTGTCCATTCAACCAGACGGCGAGCAGAGTATGCAAATATTTGACAGCAACAGTGGACTTACCGAGGCGGCGGAGGTAGAGGCCAGAGCCAGGAGCAGGGCCAGTCCAGTCCTGAGCAGATTCATGTTATGCAGGGGACAGCGAACGCACCACCAGCCTTTTATCCTGAGCGGTTCAGGGGCCCCGGGTTATACAAGATACATATATGTGTGTGTGGGTGTGTGCATGTGTTTGTATGTGTGTGTACGTGTGGCCATGAACTCTGTCCAAGACATATCCAGCAGTGGGATGATATCAGTGGTAAATAAAGGATACATACAGTACATATTCTTCAAAAATGGTTCTTGTAAAAGTAAAATAGACTGCCTTTTTTATATTAAAAATATAAAAATGATTCTGATTCTGATATTAGAAAACATTTCAAAGAGCCACCACCTGACCCTCTCTTACAATTTGCCCGATTGGTTGAGCAAGGCTGGTCCTCTCTTTCTCCCTTTTCTGACTGAAAAAGCTGGTTCTAAACATGTGACAGAGGCCAAAAATACATACATGTGAAAAAAGCAGACTGTTTGGAGTGTGAGGAACCACCCCCCTGGCTAGCTCGCCACTTTATGCAACAATGGCCGGTGTAGCTCACTCTGTATTACTATGTTATCTAATTGTATAACATAGTTTTCCATCTTTTTTGTTTTGAAAGTTAGATACAGTACAACAGCTTTAAATCATTCCGGGGAAGGACAGCAGTGGCTTAGCTGGTAGAGCCCCTGCGTCTTTACTAACTAGTTTTATACATTTTTATAACTGAGAACAAGACTCTATTTTTTTTAAATTATTATTTGTTCTATTTATTTTGGAAACCAGCAACAACAAAATACAACATGCATCATTTTTGACTTCACTTTGACTTGACACATCGATAAAGAGCTGCCAATGGGTCCTGGATGGCAGAAGTACTCAAACTGCAGTTTTTAGTAAAGTAATGGATTAGTCTGATAATCATACAGTGAATCTGCTAGTTATTGAATTAGTTAGGTGAATAGTCAGTGATTTAGATAGCTAGTAAATTTTATAGTTAGTGAAGGAGATAGTTAGTATGCTAATCATATTGTGAATTATTTAGATAGTGAATTAGTTAGTTAATGATTTAGTTAGTAATTTAGATAGTTCATGGATTTTATAGTTAGTAAATTAGTTAGGTTTTTTTTTGTGAATAGTTAGTGATTATTATAGTTAGTGATTTAGATAGTTAGTATACTAATTATATTGTGAATTAGTTAGTTAGTGAATTAGTTTATGAATGATTTAGTTGGTGAATAGATAGTGATTTAGATAGTTAGTGGATATTAGTAAGTGAATTAGATAGTTAGTATGCTAATTATATTGTAAATTAGTTAGTTAATTAATTAGTTTGGTGGTGACTAGTTAGTAAATTAGTTAGTTAATTAATTAGTTAGGTAGAGACTAGCTAGTGGGTTAGTTAGTTGATTAGTTAGTTAATGATTTAGTTAGTGAATAGATAGTAATCTAGATGGTTAGTGAATTAGATATTTAGTATGCTAATTGCCTTGTGAAATAGTTGTTTTGTTAATTAGTGAATAGTTAGGTGTAGTGAGTAGTTAGTGAATTAGTTAATTAGTGAATTAGCTAGTATGCTAAAGAAATACGGAATTAGTTAGTTAGTTACTGCATTATAAGTAAACATGTTGGTAGTGTGTAATCAAACCATTTTTCAAAACGACTTGATGATAATTGTTTTTATAGCACTGGTCCATGTAAATACTGTAAAAGTATCCATACTCTGTGGATTCCTTATCTTTGGCCTTGTGCCTTGTTCTCATCAGCTGCTTTCTTTCACACAGGTACACACCATAGATTAGATAAAAACCTTCTGTAAAATACCTCCCTTTGTGCAAAAATAGGTGAGGTTTTACAGTTTTTAAAATTATGTTTCAGTTCTTTTATGCGATGCGCTTATAACCAAAATTCGGAATGATAAAAAGGACATTGACTGATGAGAACCACAAAGTACAATCACATTAGTCCAGTTTTCAAGGCTCCCTGCTCCTCAGAGATCACAGGGACTGGCCTCCTGCTGGTGCCCAGAGTCAGGACTAAACATGGGGTGGCAGATTCTTAAATGTATGCAGCTGTAGTAAAGTAAAGTGACTATAAGATTGCAATATGAAGCCTACCTCCAGAAATTATGTTATGACCTGCACACATAATTACTAGCTTTCTATTTAATATGGCGTAAATGTTTTGGTCAAAGATTTGGTTTTTGTTCAATACTTGATCAGTATTTTCAAATAGACACGCTACAGTTATACAGTACTGTATGTGGGATTGGTCTAATCAGATCTGGTGTTAGCTAAGCTGCTTGGAGCCCGGTTAGTGATCGGTAAAGGTAAAGGGGCACTTTGTTTATCTCCGTAGGGAATTTATCCTCTGCATTTGACCCATGCTGACGCCACTAGAGCCTCTATCAGGAACCGTGGTTGGTATAGTGCCACGCCCGGGAATAGTTTGGATGGTATGAGTCTGGAGTGAGATGCCGCAGCTTGGTAGCCTTGCTTTTACCAATCTAATTTTACTTTTCAGAACTAATCTAATCAGCTGGAAAACTCCGGTAGATTATGTGATACCAAAGTTTATCTTAGCTGTTCATAACAAAACACCTAATCTCTAAAAAAGCCATCTAGAGCTTCACAAAGTAACTTAAAGATGCCGTCAGTGATTTTTTTCTGGACGCATTTTTTAAACATTGTGGGAAAACGTCCCTTAACCCTAAAAATAGTCAATCATGTGTTTTCAAATAGTAATGGAATTGACCAGATGCCTATAGTCTCCAAAAAATAATAACAAATATTTTGGAGCGGACCGATAAAAATAAACCAATGGGATTTGTTCATCCCCAACGAACCAATGGGATGCGTTTACCTAAAAAAACCTTCTTCCTGTTTCTCTCGAGTGTGCGCACCAGAGTTATCGGATTTTCTAAAACCTAAAGGGCTGAACAGAAAATGCCAATTTCATGTTTTCCACCTACTCTCCCTGTTGTGACAAAGAAAAGAAAATGCAAGATGTTTGGTTTGATGGAGAGGCGAGGGGAGGGGGGAGAGGTTTCCAGATGGTGCTACGGCTAAGCTAACAACATCACTTACTGCACCTTTAATGTGAAACGACCAGTCAAAGAGACAACAGTCCAGTCGTGACATGTGGTATAATTTATTGTTGATGGTGGGAGTGGGAGATGGACAGTTGTTATTCAGTCTTGAGGCTGGGCAGACTGGGCAGGACGCTGCTCCAGAAGTGCACGTAACGCATCCTCATCTTCTGCCGCACGTAGCTTTTGTCCATGTTGTGGTGGATCTCCAGGTACTTATGCCCATCGCTCTTGAACTCAGGCCAAGTGGCAGGGACCTCCGAGTCGCCCTGGTTTGGGTTCCTGAGGTGGAATAAGGAGAGACAGTCTAATAATGAAAGAGCTGAAGATGTTTCATGGACTTAAACACCTTCCCAAACTCATTCCCCTCTCATTCTTTGGTGTATCATTCATTAATTTACCATAAAGGTGGTAGGAACCCGTTTTAGCTGGGGTAAGTAAGTAGATTCAAGATTCAAGAATTTATTTGTCATTTGCAGTAAAACCACATTGGAAAAACTGTGTAAGACTACACCAGAGTGCACCAGACAGAAATCTTGCCACAGCGCCATATTTTTTTTTCAATAACCTTTATTTATATAGTGCATATAAAATAAGATGTGCTATATTTATATATAAATGTATATATTACAGAACTCTCAGTTGGTTCTTACCCAGTTTTGGCAAAGTTGGTCCAGTAAGCGATCATGTATCTGGACAGGTCTCTGTGCCGGGGCCAGTACCCCAGGGGAGTGGCGAAGGGCTTCCCAAAGACAAACTGCAGGTCGTCCATGTGGTCGCATCCCATCCAGCTTGGGTAGGGCGTGGTCAGACCCCCCAGACGGTTAGGCTCGGTCAGCAAGTATGAGTAAGTGCGGCCAGTCCTGTGCGGAGTCAGAGGCGTGAGGGTAGAAGACAGAGAATATTGGGAGGATGTTTCGGAAATATGTCACTGAATTAATCATTGAGCATAGATAACAATCATAAACGTAAATGTTGATATGTCATAATTATTCCTCTTATTCACTTTACTTTGACTTTTTACATTATATATGTGCACACCCCTCTATTGCTACTCCCACTGCCAGATCCCTATCTGCTCGTGACAGTGGAGAATGCAACTCCCAATGTTTTTGTGATTCATTTGAAAGCTAACTTGTCTTTCAAAATAAGCAAATTTGAACTCTACAAAGAACCTTCTGGAATGAACAACATCAATAAAACTCCAAATGCAAGCCATTCAAAACATATTCAGATGTAGTTATGTAACCCAATGCCATACCAATGCATCCAAAAGTCAAAATACTTAATGCATAATTGTATAAAAACAGTTTGTACGTTGCTTTCTTGGCGTGCATGTACAGAGCAGCCTGAGTTGGCACCAGAAAGATGTAGTCGGTCCCAACGGCCACAGCGGTCTTCTTGATGGTCTCGCGGCTCGGTTTGGCGCCCCAGTCAGAAGAGTAGGTGGAGAAGGCTTCCTCCAACCCAGCATTTCCTTTCTCTTTGGTGTATGAAGCTAGCAGTGTCTTCACATCTTCACTATAACACACAGGGCCGATAAGTTTAAGGCAGGTAAGTGGAAGTAAAAATTTTGTTATTTCAAAAAACTAAAACAGTAGAGCTTGCAAAATGATTTGGATGATTTCATATGCCTTTAATTCTGTGATGACTGATGAATGGAAAATTGTCAAATGCCACTTATGATGGACTTGAGAATATTAGTCACTAAAGAGGATAATTACGTCAAAGGAGCACACCAGACACATCGGTTAGGAAGCATGAATGGATTATAAAGAGTTTAAACTTTGAAAATCTCACAGAGAACAGTTTAATCCATCATCCATACAAATGTCAAAGCCACACATTTTCAATCCCAAGATTCTGTTTTTATATGATTTTAATTGCACGCTTTGTGTTTTTATATGTTGTGCGTTCAACAGATTTTATGTTTTAAACTACTTGTGCATGGCCCCTCCTTTCCCCAAGCCGTGTATGACAATCAGCGCACCTGAGCAGGTGTTCTGGACCAGGACCGGGCCACCAGAGGAATGTGGCCGGACGGAGCCAGCGGGGGCCAAGGTTAGCGGGGAGAGGGGCACCGGCGCCTGGGAGTTGGCCTTGACAGTGCAGGTTGGTGCGTGCATGTGAGGCTTATGGCCCAAATGAGTATGGTGGCTGGGATGTGCTGGTCTTTCTTCACGAGTGTTCAATGGCGACCCGGGGTGAGCAAGCGGCGGGGGAGCGACTGTGGTCTTGCTCCCGGGACAGAGGAACAAGGAAGGACCATGGAACTGTGGCCTTTTTTATTCGTATTTTTCTAACCACTTTTTAATATCAAACTTTTTTACATACGTATTTTATTAAATGTGATCCCCTTTTTATATTTGTTTTATTGACTTCATTTGGTCGCACCTGCACACCCATACTCCCAGAGACCGTTTTAACCTGTGACCTTTTCAAGTTCACAGGTTAAAATATATCGGTTATCGAGAGGAGATCAAAAGTCTGCCTTTCGATCGTTTCAGATGAGTCTCTCCGTACCGTGATGGCATGATAAAGCCAAGGAAGACTCACATGGGGGTGTCCACCAGCATGGAGTTGATGGAAGGGATGTCCAGAGACGTGAATATGTGCCCGTCCATATCGTTGGCTCCAGCGATGTAGTCGACCTCAGCCGCGTTGTGGAAGAGTTTGGAGGGTTCGTCCGGCAGGAAGTCTCCGTCCACCACCGCCGCCAGAGCCAAGTTTTGCAGAATGGGTTCTGCAGGACAGGGATTTCTACATACAGCTGTGATGGACCTTTCTAAACCAATTTAAAAAGGTCTCAACTATTCATCCATCTATCCATCTTCTTCCCCTTAACCCATTTCTGGGTTGGGGGGTGGCAGTCAGAGCTGCACCCAATTCACAAAGCACCAGCCCCTTCCTGATCCTCCTGCAGGTGGTGAGTCCACAGACTCTCTGTCTGAGAGAGCCACCCCTTGTGTCGCAACAGATACAGAGGATGATAATGGACATATGGATATAGACTGGATGAATGTTGTGTACAGTCCATGGCATCGCACCAAAGTACGTCTGTGACATGTTCGTGTTACAGATGTACATGAGGAGCACAGGGACTAACCTCGTGCTGGTGCCCAGAGTCAGGACTAAACATGGGGAGGTAGTGTTTCAGATTGATGCAGCTAAAACATGGAACTGTCTTTTATAAAATCCAGGTTAAAAACAGTTCTGTTTAGCTGTGCATACAACTGAAGGATTGTACGTCACTGTTTTTATTGTACTGTCCTTACATACTGTATGCTTTAAATCCCTTGTCTAAATTGCATATTTATTTTCTTGTTTAATTAAGCCTTGATACTTGCCTTGCCTTTTAAACTATGGCATATGCTGTCAGAAACTAAAATTATTTGAATAGATCCAGTTGTGTTGCATTGTACAGTCCCATGATGCTCTTGCCTGCTGGTCAGTGACAAACTCCATTCCCTGCCCATAGCATACACACTTGGAATACAGAAAGATGAACCAGAGTATAAACCGAGTAAGATAAACCAAGTATCAACTTTAGAAAAACCCCATCTTACGGGCAGGAGAGCTTTCTGTGCTGAAGCTCCCGGCCAGCGTGAGGAGCACAGGGTCAGTCATCTTCAGACAGGACGCCATCCTGCTGTCGGTCGGACAGTTCACCTTCAGAGCCACCTGGACACATTCACACATATTCAAAGGAGCTATACCCGTTTCTGCAAGGCTTGAATATTTAGCACCGCCCTCAACTCGCTCACAGACTTCTCATTTCCCCTACGCTCTCATCCCATGGAGACATCTAGTTTTATTTGCGATCTGATACATATGCAAACATTAGCATGAGCGCAACTTAAGCTGTACAACAATCACTGATGAAATGGTACAAAAGCAACGCACTGCTAACAAAATATATAATTGTTAGTTACCTATTGTAACTGTAGTTCTACGAATAGTGCGTAGCCCCTTAGGCTCGCTTTGGGTATGACTCCAGAAGCACCTAGCTTCCCGCCAGAGAGAACTCAATGCTCCAATCACTGTGCAGAACCTCCTATAAATAGCCCACAGCAGTCCATGCTCTTCACTTTGAACTCGCCAAAGCCAGGTTGGACTGATGGGCCCGTAGCTAAGGGGCTACGCACTATTCGTAGAACTACAGTTACAATAGGTAACTAACAATTCTACTTCATAGTGCTACGCCCCTTAGGCTCGCTTTGGGTAACGAAGCGTAGCCTAAAGAGTATGTACTCCCATCAGGCCAGCTAGCAGTGATTGGAGCCCTGCCGAGTAAGCCCTAACACCTCCAAGGTGTGGGAACTCAAGACAGACGGGAATGAGCAGTGATGGGGCCGCTCCTATCAAGGACGCCCAAGGATAGGCTCAAAGGTGAAGCAGTGGTAGGGCCGCTCCTATCAAGGACGCCCGAAGCACTAACAGAATCCAAGAGGGAGGCCGTTCCAGGAACAGCCAAGTCTCTGACCAAACGCCCAAGGGCGAAGGTCACTTCCCAGGACGCCTCTACCAAGAGCTCCTGAGGAACACCGCGCGCGCCCCCGTAGGGGAACAAGGAACAGTCCCAGACCGCCTCTACCAAGAGCACCAGAGGACTGCACAATGCCGCGAAGGAAGAAGGAGAAGGCTGAGCCCAGGACGCCTCTATCAAGAGCTCCAGGAGGGGCCGGCCGCTCCAGACAACATAGACCGCAGAAAGCCTCAGAGAGAGCCAGACACGGTCGCATCAGTCCCAGAGCTCAGGATGGAGTGAGCAACAGACCGCTCTGACACATCCACCAGGTAAGACAGAGCAAAGGTGGAAGACGAAGCCCAGGACGCAGCCTGGCATACCTCCTCCACCGAGCCCCCTCGTAGCAGAGCTGTGGAGGCCGCCACGCCCCAAGTGGAGTGCGCTCGGAACCCCACCGGGGGCACCATCCCCTGGGCCTGATACGCCGAGCGAATCGCCCGGGACACCCAGTGCGCCAGCCGCTGGGAGGATAACGGGGCGCCTCTGTTTTTAGGCCCCAAGCACACGAACAGCTGATCCGTGCGCCTGAAAGAGGACGTGACCTCCAGGTAATGCCTCAGCATCCTGACAGGGCACAACAGGTGTCTTTGCTCATCCTCCTGCGAGGCGTGAGGCGGAGGATGAAAAGGTCTGATCCGTATGACCCTGGACCTGAAGGTTGAGGAAACGACCTTGGGGAGAAAGGCCGGGTTGGGCCACAACTCCACCAACCCATCCCCCGGACCAAAGGACAGGCAGGCCGGGCTGATGGAAAGAGCGCACAGTTCTCCCGCCCTCTTGGTTGATACCAGAGCCAATAAGAGTGCGGTCTTGAAGGCCACGCATTCTGGGCTGGCACGGGTCAGGGGTTCGAAAGGAGGCCCTGACAGCCCTTTCAAAACCACCTGGAGGTCCCAGATCGGAGGTGTTCGTCTAAGGACCGGCCTCTTCCTGTAGGCCCCCCGAAGGAAGCGTTTGATTAACGGGTGGGAGCGGGCTGAAAACCCCCCGAACCCTTCGTGACCAGAGGCAATGGCCGAAGCGGACACACCCAAGGTACTAGCGGCCCTGCCCTTATCCAAAAGGTCCTGCAGGAAGCCCAGGACGCCCTCTAGAGGGCAAGACCTGGGGTCCCACGAGTGGGCCGCGCACCAGTCTTTGAAAAGCTTCCACCGGCACCCGTAAGCCCTCACGGTGGAAGGTGCCCTCGCCCCTTGGATGGTATCCACCACCGCCCGGGGGAGGCCTAGTCGGGCTAGGTTCTGCCTCTCAGCCTCCAAACCCAGAGCCTGTGGCCCAGGACTGGGCGGGAGCGAAGCGTCCCCCCTCCCTGGACCAGGCCCCCTGGCACGTCCGGGAGAGGCCACGGGTCCATCACAGACATGTTGGTCAGGAACGGGAACCAACGGGCCTGTGGTCGGTCTGGGGCAACCAGGATTACCTCCCGCTCTTCCTGCTCGATCCTCCTCAGTAGGATCGGTAGGAGACGAGGGGGGGGGAAGGCGTACAACAGGCCCCCTGGCCACGGATAATGAGCCAAGGCATCCACCCCTAGAGGCGGATTGTCCGTGGGTCTCAGTGCGAACCAGAGCGGGCATTGCGCGTTGTCTGCACTGGCGAACAGGTCGACCACAGGCCGACCAAACCTCTGCCAGACCTCCCCGCTGCCATCTGCGGGTCGAGGCCCCACTCGTCCTCGAGAGGGCCTCCCCGTGACATTATGTCCGCCCCTGTGTTCCTGTCTCCCGGAACATGACGCGCTCTCAGAGACTGCAGATGCCCTGCAGCCCAGATCAGAATGGTCGCTGCCAGTCGGTGGAGGGCTGGGGACCTCGTGCCCCCCCCTGCCGGTTCAGATACGCCACCACTGTGGTGTTGTCTGAGCGCACCATCACGTGTCTCCCCGCTAGTTGTGGAGCGAAATGCAGAAGCACCCTGTGAACCGCCTCCATCTCCAGCAGATTGATGTGACAAAGAGGGCCTGACCAGGCGCCCCCCACAGAGCTCTGGTGCAGAACCCCCCCCATCCCTCCAGAGACGCGTCCGTGAACACCTCCACGTGTGCCACGGCACCGACCAGGGGAACTCCTTCCAGCATCAGACCGGGCGTGAGCCAGTAGCTCAGGTCCTCGGCCACTCCTGGAGGAACAATGAGCCTTCTGCCCCCGTCTCTTGTGGGATGTAGTCGGAGACGGGAGAACCACCTCTGGAAACGTCTCAAATGAAGGAGACCTAGCCGCACCACTGCATGAGCTGATGCCATCATCCCCAATAGAGACCGTATTCGTCGGGCGGTCACTGTGGGAGAGGTCAGCGCTTCCTGAGCTAGACGCGTGATGCTCGAGCGTCTGTCCAGGGAGAGCGCTGCCCGAAACTCCACCGAGTCTAGCTGTAGACCTAGATAGACTAAGCGCTGTGCGGGTTGCAGATTGCTCTTTTCCCTGTTCACCACAAAGCCTAGGCGCTGCACGTGTGACAGGACCCAGTGCGTGTGAATGGTGGCCTGCTCCAGAGACGGGGCCAGAATCAGCCAGTCGTCTATATAAGTCAGGATTCTGATCCCTGCGCGTCTGAGTGGTTCCAGCGCCGCCTCCACGCACTTGGAGAAGGTGCGTGGGGCCAGAGCGTAACCGAAGGGGAGGCGACAGTACTCGTAACACTTCCCTCCCACGGTGAAGCGCAGGAAGCGTCTGTGCTCCGGTACTATGGCAACGTGGAAGTAAGCATCCGTCAGGTCTATGGTTGACATCCAGTCCCCGGGCCTGACGCACTCTAACAGATGTTTTGTGGAAAGCATCCGAAAGGGCCGTTTGGAAATGCACTGGTTCAGAGTGCGCAGATCCAATATAGGGCGCACCCCCCCTGATTTCTTGGGGACCAGGAAATACGGGGAGTACAGGCCTCTGGAGGCGTCCCGAGGGTCCACCAGGACCGCGGCGCCTCTGCGTAACAGGGAGGCGACCTCCATTTGGAGCGCCTCTTCTGTCTCCCGATCTGTAGGGCGCACCGCACGAATGCCCTGGAACGGCGGTGGTCTCCGTGCGAACTGCAGAGCGTAGCCCCTGCGCATCGTTTTCTTTAACCAGGGGTCTGACAGTAGACCGAGCTCTTCCCAGACCCGAAACTGCTCTGTGAGGGGAAGGAGAGGACCCGGAGCACCTGGTGTAATAGCCCCCCACTCTCCCTGCGCTCCCAGCGGAGAGGGGGGGGCATCGAAAGGGCCGAAACACCTCATGAGATGTGCTGTGTGAGGAGGTTGGGACCAGGCCCCCTGACTCACTTATAGACAGCGGTAATCTGCGTTTCACTCCCCGCCCAGAGGATGAAATGACAGCAGCCTGAGCTGAAGGGCAGACGTGTGTGGGAGCGTCCTGCTCTGTATGCGTAACACCACTAACAGAGGGAACCCCGGAGACAGAGGGAAAAACCTGACCTAGGCTTTCATTACCACCCCTGGGGAATGAAGTGCTGGATTTACCCCGGAGACGCTGAGAAAAGGGAGAGAGGCTCGCAAAACCTGGTCCTGACCCAGCAGACACTACACTGGCCGCTGTGGGAAGTGGTATGGAGGGATGCGGCCGCTGTGGACTCAACGTAACCAAAGGTGATAGACCTGTGTGTGATGCAATGCTGCCCTCTACCTGAGATGACAAACCATGCATGGCAAAAAGATGATGCTCAGACAGAGAATACGGTACACCTTGTCGTTTATTGAAAAACTTTTTCCCCCCCCGAACTCCCCGACTGTAGGGAGGGCGGCGGTGGGAGCGTTGGTCACGGAAACCACCGGAGTAAGGCTCTGAACCCCGTGGTCTCTGCGGAGTGTAGCGGCCCGGGCAAGGAGCAAGAGGGGGCGGAGCTGAGCGTCGCCGAGGTGACCGGTCTCTCACTCTCTCTCTGCCGCGATAAGGCTGCTGCTGTTGTTGTTGCTGCTGCTGCTGCTGCTGCTGCTGCTGCTGCTGTGACACACGGCGAGGGAGCAGATGAGGAGCCAGCATGGCGGAGTCTTTGGCAGCAGCGTCCAGTCTCGCGACGAGCCCCTTCATGTCTGGACCGAAGAGGGAATCCAAGGATATAGGGAGGTCCAGGAGCTGCCTCTTCTCCGTCTCCTTGATGTCCGCTAGCCCCAGCCACAGATGGCGAGCACCGACCTGTGCGGACGCCATGGATCGCCCACCGTCAATAGCCAGCGCCTGGATCATACGGAGTATGGCCGCCGTGGTGGTTCTGGCCCGGTCCAGGTCCTCGTCGGTGAGAGCTTGACCCGTGGATAGAGACCTATCGAGGGCCCCGGTGAGAAGAGCCATATTGCTAGCTAACGCAACGACCTGTGCTGCGTTAGCGTAGCATCTATCCAGTACAGCCATGCTCATCCTATCCCGCTCCGAGGGAAGGAGAGGTCTGCTGCCGGGCCACACCGAGGACTGCGGGAGTAGTGCGAGCCGGACAGCGTCCTCCACTTCCGGGACCCCTTTGGACCAGGACCAGTCTTGGACCGAGCAATAGGCGCCGTACCCCAGAGCAGGCTTCTTAGCTGCTAGGGGTTTGGCCCAATCACGTGCCGCGTAATGGAAAACCGGATCCATCCGCGGACACAGTGTTGCAGCTCGTCTCTTCTTCCCTGGAAGCGATGAACCCACCGACGTGAAGTCGCTCTCTCTCTGGGTGGGTAGCTGGAGGCAGGGGGGTCTCCATGGTGGCCGCTGCCGTGGCGAAGAGGCGGGGCATGTGGTCCAGAGGGAAGCGGTCTTGTTCCTCGCACAAGGAAATAGCCTCGTCGAGAGTGACGTAGGAACCCCGGTCCTCGTCAAACTCTTCCTCCACAACACAGTCTCCCCACTCCCTGGGTGCAGGAGGCAGGTCGAGCGGGACATACTCAACCTCAGGTTCCTCCTCCTGGGAGGGACCCGGGCGAGCCTCCACGGAGGTGGCATAAGCAGCGCGGCGCTCTCTCTCCTCCCCGGGGAGAGAAAGGCACGCCGCACACGTCGCCGCTTCCCGGTGGTGGTGAGCTCCCAGGCAGAGGAAGCAGAACTCGTGCCGGTCTTTGCGGTGGAGCTTGGTCCGGCAGCCACCGCACCGTCTTCGTCCGACGCCGGATGGCGAAGGAGTTCTCGGACGAGGAGGAGTAGACATCGCGATCTTCAATGGTGAGTAGAACTTCTCTCAATGGCGCCAGAGTTCAAAGTGAAGAGCATGGACTGCTGTGGGCTATTTATAGGAGGTTCTGCACAGTGATTGGAGCATTGAGTTCTCTCTGGCGGGAAGCTAGGTGCTTCTGGAGTCATACCCAAAGCGAGCCTAAGGGGCGTAGCACTATGAAGTAGAACTGAAAGATTAACGCTAGTTCCACGTCTGAATGTAGTCCGAGCATAGATAGTCTGAGCATAGATAGTCCGAGCATAGATAGTCCGAGCATAGATAGTCCGAGCATAGATAGTCCGAGCATAGATAGTCCGAGGCGGTCCCGCAGGTCTCTCCCATAGACAAGTCTCTCCAGAGGATACGATGTAAGTTAGCTATGTTCACCTGGGCTTGATTTCTTCTTTGATCGTTTTTTGGCTTTAGTTCCCTCTTTCACTTCCTCACTGTTGCATCTGGCTGTTTTGCTGTGTCTGCAGTTACAGCCAGAGCAGGTATAGCCACTATCAGCCACCATTCTGCTGTTGTTTACCAGCGCTGTAGAAGGTAGTGGAGGCAGCCTGTTCGGAACAGCACCGCTCCTCGTTCTGTGAGTGAACGTTTCTTCTCAGCACTTTTTATGGCCTGAATGTATACACAAGCTAAATCAATGAGCTCAAGTTTTCAATGAAATTACGGATTATAATTTAATTTATATGTAGTAACAAGCATTTATATGAACTCATAAAAAAAGCATCTAGCATCTTTAACTATTTAAGGATAGCCCCATTGAGATGCATCATCTCTCTTACGAAGATGGCTGACATACAATAAAATACTATAATGTTTAGCACACACACACACACACATACACCTTTTGTCTTCCCACTCATTTCCAATCTCCAGCAAAATCAACACTTTTACCTCAAAGTGCTGTTTTCCCAAATTTCTACAGATACATAAAAGATACCACGAATGAAGGTTTTGAAAATAGTCTAAAGTCTAAAATGTACATGACATTTGTAAAAAACAGCTACAATTCATCTCAGTGGGACTAGTCTGGTAGAGTTACTGACAATGGCAGAAATAAATATAATGAAACCTACATCAAACATTAGGACAGGGGTCTCAAACTGGGTCCAGAAAGGGCCAGGTTGGCTGCAGGTGTTCATTCCAAACAGACACCCCCCGATTTCCTTACACCCCCAGGTTAAGACTGGACTCACTTGGAGTCTGGTCTGCTTCTGCTCGGTTGGAATGAAAACTTGCAGCCACATTGGTCCTTTGAGGTCGTACGTTTGACTGGTTTAAATGACACCTCCTGCTGAACACTGGTCCATTCAGACCTGGCAACGTCACGAGTGCGCAAACTGAGGCCTGATTTTCAACTCTCTTTATCACAGTAACTGGCAGCATGGATGGTAATGAGCTACTATGGCTTGTTATACTTCATTGAAAAGTTTACTTTCCTTCAGGCAGTTTCCTCAAAATGAAATTGAATCCATATGATAAAAGTAATAGTTATCTTAGCTTCTTTATGATAGGGAGGTTTGTGGCCATATGATCTAACCATATGATAAAAAGTGTACCCGGTTGTAGAGATTGGCGAGAAAGCAGTACGGCGGCGTATATAGACGACACAAACCCAGGTCGGATTAGGTCTGCAGATCTGTAACCACAATACTCTCTGGTGCACCGGGAGAATTGCTGAGCTGATACAGTCAATAAGGATCAGAAAACAATGGTGACAGATAAATGCGGCAGCTCGTGCGGGTCGCGTAGAGCTCCTCGCAAGATTGCTGACAGGTCGCTGTGTGTGCAGGGAAATTGGAAAGGTGCCGCATTTTTTTTCTTCTCCACAGAAATAAGGTGATGGGGAAAAATGAAAGATGGCACAAATTCAGGGTGATGCGCATGTGGCTTCTTTCTCTCTCGCTCTGTGCCGATGTTGGGGGATTTTCTCGATTACCGGCGGAGCACAGAGGACACTGGTTTCAACTCCTCTCGATCGTCTTTGTGCAGACTAGATTGGACGTGGATCTGATTGGTTAACACACCTACTTCACAGAGCTTTTCATTGAAAGCTATATATAGATTAAATTGCCATGGTTTAAAGTTCGCCCACTGTTTTTCTCAAGCAATTTACTATTCTCACTTGAACTTACTATTTAATGTTACGGTAGTGTGTTGGATCCCAAAGCAGAGATAGAGATGTGGTTGGATTAATAATGGTAATGGTTGTCATTTTTAGTTTTAATTGTATTGTCTGTTCTCCTGTGTATTTTTGTGTGTTTTACCTCCTGTTCTGTTGATTGCCCGCCCTGATGTGTTACACCTGCGTCTCCCAGTTAAATTCCCTGTGCTCTTTCCTTTTTGTCCGCAGTCCATTGTTCCCCAGTTCCTATATTTTACAATCAGATGAGTTTTGTATTTCGACTTCCAAAGAAATGTAACAAACCCCCCATTTTTTCAATGACAAGGTTCCAAAAAAAATGCACATTTTCAATCAAGGTTCAAGGCATCAAAAACGCCATCCACTGATAACAATCCAACAGCCAGAAAGGCTCTTTGAGCTAACTTACTTTGCACCTGTAAATGATCAAACTGTCCAAGAGATAATCTCCAGTTTGAGCTCCTCCACATGCAGCCTGGATGTACTACCCACTAGATTTCTGAAGTCTGTTCTGAGCAGTCTGTTACATTCACTCACACAGATAGTAAACATGTCCCTTGATTCTGGAATATTCCCAAAGGCCTTGAAAACTGCAGTCATCAGGCCCCTGCTAAAAAAGAGCAGTCTGGATGCTACGGTACTTAACAACTATCGTCCCATCTCAAATCTGCCATTTATGGGGAAAGTCCTTGAAAAAGTTGTCTACCTACAGCTTACTAGATTTCTTATAATCAACAACTCATTTGATATGTTTCAGTCCGGCTTTAGACCCCACCACAGCACTGAGACTGCTCTCGTCAAGGTTACAAATGATATCCGGCTGAACACTGACGCAGGCAAAGTCTCAATCCTAATCCTGTTAGATCTAAGTGCTGCCTTTGACACTGTCGACCATGAGATCCTCTTACAGAGACTAGAGGACTGGGTTGGCGTCGCTGGCACCGCCCTAAGTTGGTTTAGGTCTTACCTTGAAGACAGGAAGTACTTTGTGGAGATTGGAAACTGTGTCTCAGATCATATGGCCCTGACCTGTGGAGTCCCACAGGGGTCGATCCTGGGACCTCTTCTGTTCAATCTCTACATGCTGCCGTTAGGTCAGTTAATACGCAGAAACAAAGTTTCCTATCATAACTATGAAGACGACACTCAGATCTATGTCTCACTGACTGCAGGAGAACATGGACCAGTGGACTCACTCCTTCACTGTATCCAACAGATCAGTGAGTGGATGCAAAAAAACTTCCTTCAGCTAAACGCAGACAAAACTGAAATGATTGTCTTTGGTCCCCAGAAACAAAGAGAGAGCGTCATCTGTCATCTACAGTCTCTCTCCCTAAAACCTTCAAACAAGGTCAGAAATCTAGGGGTAATACTGGACTCAGACTTAAATTTTAATAGCCACATCAAATCAGTAACATCAGCAGCTTTTTACCATCTAAAAAACATTGCCAGGATCAAAAACATAGTGTCTAAAGCAGACCTGGAGATTCTTATCCATGCATTTGTCTCCAGTAGGTTAGACTACTGCAATGGCCTGCTCACAGGTCTGTCCAAACAGGCTGTAAAACAGCTGCAGTACATTCAAAATGCAGCAGCTCGAGTCCTGACTAGAACCAGGAAGTACGACCATATTAGTCCAGTCCTCAGGTCCCTGCACTGGCTTCCTGTGGCTCAGAGAATAGACTTTAAAACAGCTCTGCTTGTGTACAAGTCTCTCCATGGCCTCGCACCAAAATATATTAGTGACATGTTAGTCCCATATGAACCAGCCCGGACTCTGAGGAGCACAGGGACTGGACTCCTGTTAGTGCCCAGAGTCAGAACTAAACATGGGGAGGCTGCTTTTCAGATTCATGCTGCTAAAATCTGGAACAATCTTCCTGAAGATGTGAGACAGGCCTCCTCTCTGACAATGTTTAAAACCAGGTTAAAAACGGTGCTGTTTAGCTGTGCATACAACTGAGGGATTTTATATTTTTATCTTTCGTTTTAATGTTCTGTAATTATTTATGATTTTAATGCTATCTTGTTCAGCACTTTGAGTTGCCTTGTGTATGAATTGTGCTATACAAATAAACTTGCCTTGCCTTGCCTTGCCTTGCCTACATACATACATACAGTACACACAAACATACATACAGTACACACATACATACAGTACACACACACATACATACAGTACATACATACATACATACAGTACACACATACATACATACAGTACATACACACATACATACAGTACACACACACATACATACAGTACATACACACATACATACAGTACACACACACATACATACAGTACACACACACATACATACAGTAAACACATACATACATACAATACATACATACATACATACATACAGTACATACACACATACATACAGTACACACACACATACATACAGTACACACATACATACAGTACATACACACATACATACAGTACACACACACATACACACATACATACATACAGTACATACACAGACATGCATTTCAGATTCATGCAGCTAAAATCTGGAACAGTCTTCCTGACAATCTAAGACAGGTTTCTTCTCTAAATCCAGGTTAAAACACTTCTGTTTAGCTGTTGCCTTGTGTCTGAATTGTGCTATATAATTAAACTTGCCTTGCCTTACATTGAATCTGAATAATATCAGCCGTACAAGACACAAATTAACAATCAAATAATGACTTAGATTGGAAACAAGAAGTGGATCATCTGGATTTGCAGAGGAATTACAGAAACATGAATCGTAAACTACACAGGCTGCTAGAAGTTTTGACTTTGGACTGTTACCATAGTTACCAGGAAAGATTTCTCTGCCTGTTC